GGACTAGGTGCCTGTATTTATGCCGGGAGATGTTTTCTCCATGGGCGCAGAGCAGCAGCCGGCTCTGACCAGAGAAACGGTGGCAGAGAGCCAGAGCAGATAACACCTGAACTGAAGGAGCAGCAGAAACAACATGCAGCACCGCAGAGAGAAGACTCCTGGAAGGAGAGCCGAGACAAAGAGAGCCAGCAGCCTGAGAGACAGAGTTCTGGGGGTAAGACTGTACCAGCCCCCCAAACTCCTTTGAGACCTCCTGGAAGGAGGAGTAGATGGACTCCTATTTTAGAGGAGCCTTGGAGTATGCAGCACCGGAGAGAGAGAGAAGCTGAGAAGCTCAGAGCGTCCCGGAGCTGGACCGGGACGGCCAGAGGAATGCGGGGGAGTTGACCTTGGCTCCCCCCCCTTGCACTGCTGCCACGGTGGCAGCCTGAGAGACAGGGCACAGAGGCCCTGCAAGGAGCTGAGTCTCCTGGAGATACCAGACCGTCACGAAGACCCCCCTTGTGTCTTCGTGATATGACGTGGTGATACGACCTTGTCTGGGGTTACGAAGCCCACGGAAGACCCCTCGGTTGGAGGCGATGGGGCCGAGAGAGGCTTGAATACCTCCCTCGTGAGTGCTGGCAGAAAGCCAGCTATCAGCTGCTGCATGTGGAGAAGACAGACAGACTGCTGCCTCAGAAGATGCTGCTGCTTAAGGACTGGAAGGGATCTGTCCTTCTTTCCCTCCTGGACTTTTATTTGGAGGGGAGAAGAGATCTGATCCACTGTAAATACATATGTTATGGTAGAGATAGTTGTGATCATGTGTATAATGTGATATGGTATTTATTTGTATAGTCATTGTAATATATTCCCTTTCCCCCACTTTGAGTCTGGTGTGTTTTTGTGATCGTGTGTATAATGTGATATGGTATTTATTTGTACAGTCATTGTAATATATTCCCTTTCCCCCACTTTGAGTCTGGTGTGTTTTGTCTGGAAAAACCCATCTCACATTAGGTTGAGATGTGGGAGGGGGGAATGGAGCTAGGGGATTGGATTTTGGGACTATCTCAAACCATGACACACTAGTAATTCCTATAATCCACTGCTTTCATAGTTAACAGAAAAAAATATCCTGTCTAGTAGAACTGGAGCTCAGATCTTTTCATGGCAAAAAGATTCCTTACTTATCCCATACTTTTGCAGCTTTATAGGTAAGTTTCTGAAAAGCCAAATATCGACAAAAAACCAGAAAGAAATAAAACACTGATAAATTAGGGATATTTTTTATTTCTGTCCTCAAAGAACATACCTGCTTGTATCTTCAGCAGTATTATTACAAACTTGAACAAAACAGACATGGGACAATTTCAGTCTCTTACTGTAACCTTATCTCTACATTTTAAAAGTTTATCTTTCACTTATGAGTGTCATGTTTTAATTTGAGAGAGTGTTTTTTATGGAACGCTCTCACTTGAGAGAGTAGCTGCTGCACTAACCAGAATGGCACTAACAAAAGACTGAAAGGTAAACCTTCATAAAGATTTTCTAACACAGACTGCTTGGCTTGCAATGAGCCCCAACAGATCACAGGACTCCACATTCAGTCATTTGTGACGTCCTTATTTATTCTTTTGAATAGTTCACTTTGGTAAAAGAAAAAAATACATATCTAAAACCTGTACGTCTATGTGTATGGTTACTGTATGGGGGAGGGGTTACTTTATGGGGGAAAAAGGTTCCAGAGATACTGGAACGTGGAAAACTAGACACCTTTGCTAGTTAACAAAGTAACTATTTATTATGAAGGGTGGCTAACAGTAAAAACAGGCACTCAAGAGAAGGGGATTAGGAAGGAGAAAAGTGAACAAAAAAACCCTAAAAGGAAGGCTCGACACCCTACTCACCCAGGTGTCATCTATAAGAGAGTCTTACCCACTCTAACCAGTAATAAAACCTCTCTGCAGCAGCTGCGTGTTCCGAAGGGCTGGCAGGCTCCCACTTCAGCAGGCGTCCCCGCTAAAAGCAACTTGGTCCTTCGTGAAGAGCCGGCCCCCCAACACAGAAAGCGTGTCTGCTTTTATACAGTTCATTGAGTACACCTGCCCGGGGTGGTGTGGCCAGTACCGCCCCGTCAGGAGTTCTCAATCCCACCCCCTTGGTTATGTAAGGGCACCCCTTCCGCGCATGCGTGAGAACTTTGGAAATCCCCTCACGCGCACAGTGAGTCCTGAGGGTCTTTCCAATTGAGTCTGGGGGAGAGCCTTCCTCCTCTCATCATCACTTTCTCCTCCAAATGCCCTTGACGAGCCATTGACCAATCACAAGAGACCAATTAAAACAGTTTATACAGAAGTTCTCCCTCCAAGGCCAAATTCACTGTTTTATCAGTGAACTTGGCAGGGAGAACTATAAACTTCTGCAGGTGGCTAAGGACAAACACAGACCAAAAATATCATCCCGACTTCGTCCAAATACAGTTACTGAGGTGAAAAAGCTAGTTAACAGTTAAACACTATTTGCTTCGAACTTACTAGTGAAGTAATACACAACTGGAGTGGAATGGTGCTGCAGCAGTGCTTATGGCACAGCTTTGGATCAACATTTACAGGCACTATCAAAATGTACACCTACAACTCAGTTTGTATAGTCGACCAACTCTCACTTTCTCCTATCTCATTAATTATATGAGGACAAAAACGTGTCGAGATTGTCACTGCTGTATGTCTTTCACAAAGAGAGAGAACCATAGAAGACTTGATTTCTTCAGTAAATCATGAACATTACATTCACTCCTACAGAAGGAACTGCCATTTGCAAGGCTGACATGTTTTAAAGTATGAATGGGTCTTCCCACAAAATGTTACACTTGATTACTTTTTCCATTGGATGAGAGCGACCTGAATATCTGAACAAGTACACGGTACCTCCATAGTTAGTTATATTTTATTCTCATGAATATTTTCTATGTTTAAAAAAAAAAAATAAAAAAATATATATTTCCTCTTATACCCAAAAGTAAGAGGAAAACAACTCTGCCAACATGGAAAACAAGATAATGACTAGGAAACCCTCTTTTATCTTTTAGGATATCTTCCAGATCTAGTCGGTAATGTTATTTACAGAGTTTCAAATAAATAACAACTGAATGCAAACCCATGACTGAAAAAGAATATCTAATGACAATCAGAGCCTAGAAAACATGAAATTCTCAAGAAACAGTAAATTTTTTGACATACACTACAATTCTATATCACTGCTAAATTCAATACAAAGACTGTAGTAGTTCTTGCAGGAAAAATGAAAACCAGTGCACTGGTAGGTAAAAAAACCCCTAATAGTCTTTAAATGACAGACTGACAAATTAAGGTATTGGGAACATTTTTGATAATAAAACCTCTGTATACTTTTTATTATTAAAAACTGTTACAAACTAGCATTATTTGGTTTTCAGTTACAAAATTGCACAGTAAATTGTAGATAAAACTACTCAGCAAATGCATTTCACTCTTCAATGTAAATTTTCATTTAACAAGGAAATAAAAATAGAAAGTTGAACTCTGTAGATGTGATTTTAAAATATTCACTGTCCAATACACAATGCATTTTGCAAACTAGGCAGAAGAACTTTAAAATGTTTTCTTAGTTAGATTGTTTGTAAATTCAGAAAAGTACTCAACAAACATTAGTATTAGGATGCCTAAAAAACTCAGAGTAAGAGAACACACCAGTGTGTGTAAAACTGCAAATCTGGGGGAAAAGGCATTTCAGTATAACATCTGAAAAAACTCACAGCCAATTGAAACAAAAAACAACAAAGCAAAAAACTAACGAAAAAAAACCCCAAACAAGCAAAAAACCCACAACAACAAAGTCAAAAAACACCAAAATCAAAAGACCCCAAAAACATATCAATAAAAAAAAAAGCATGAGCAAAACTTCAAAACTCACGCAATATTCAATTCAATGCTTTTAGATGAAAAATTTTGTCACTTATAAGTTCTCATACTAAAAACATACTTTCAGACCATGCCCCTCTATCAAAAACCAGAGAATAAAGGGAAAAGACAAAAGGTACTTCGTATTAAAGTAACGAAGTCATAGAACTTGGTGGAAACCTCTAAGAAATATGGTTGTAATAAAATAAAATTCATTGTAAATCTCCCTTATAAGTCAGTATCCATTTTGGTAAGTTCTTTAAACTGAATAAATACCATTTTTGCAACATATTTTTATCTCAGTGTCTTGTTTACAAGTCCCTATGCTATTTCTTCATTGCATTTGTGCCACTGGTACTATCAAAAAAGACCAAGTCCCTGAAGCATTTCTTTCAGCAATTAAAAAGCATCAAGATTCTCAGTTGTTTCAAAATGGCAGCCCTACACTTTGAAACAAAATACATGAAGTGGATTATTTTGACAGTAATCATTAAGTTCCAATGCCTGGGGAGGGAATGTGTAATGGGAAAATTTACTGCATTTACTCAAATTATTTTTAGACTAAAACTGTTGTACTGTAGCATTCTCAAAGCTCCAGCTACATTTTGCCCCAAGACAGATCACTTGAACATGAGATTCCCAAAACTAGTTTTCTAGATCTTCTTTTATGTGCCACATATAAAGAGACTTTCAAAATCCTAGTGATTTTTTTTTAACTGCAAAAGACAACTATTAGATTGCAAGCCTGTTTCTTTTCAGATGTCCTAATGAAAAGCATCAGTTCTTTACTTAAATATATAAATAAAACAAAACTTCACAAACCTCATGTTTATGTTAGGGAACTTTAAGCTACTTTAGAGGTTTCTAATGCTTCCATCTCTTTCTCTATATCGAAAAAAGTTTGAAAAAATCACAGATATAAAATGATGATTAAGCTGAATTTCTGGTCCTCTTTAAATAAATCACTTGAAGACAGAGGAAATTATACAAATTGATAGAATTCTGTAGGCATTCTAGAACAGGAGCATAATTACTAATACTTGAATAGGATAAAATTTAAGTAACTAGTAGTCTTACCTTGATCAAATGGTTTACCCGGACTCCATGTACGAAAATAATCATCCTGGAGAGGGAGAAACAACTCAAATTTAGTAAAACATAAGGAATCAATGTATACACAAAAAACTCATAGTATCATGAAAGACAGAAGAAGTATACCAACCTCTACTTCCTAGAAAAGGCAAGCAGGAAAATAAAATAAAAAAAAAAGGAGAGAAAAAGATTACAGTTATCATAATGGGACAAATTACACAGAATAAAACAGTATAATTCAGAGGCCATTTGCACTCATAAAATAAAAATGCCATTTAAAAATGTTACTCCTTAGCATTTAAAATAGAAAATGTATTTCTCATAGTACCTGCATAGGTAATGTTTCTAACACTGCTTTTAAAATGTTACAGTAGTTTTCCTGTACTTTAAGTTCTAAAATACTGAAAAACTTAATTACATTTTCACTGATTGAGCTTTCAAAAGTAAAGCTTCAAAGCTGTCATCAATAAATTCAGCTATCTTAAAGAATGATACATGAATTTTTGAAAAATAAATAATTTGTTATGTAGCTTTCAATTGCATCAGTAAGACCTTTCATTAGGTAAGTCTAATTAGCTGTATTTTCTACAAATCATCTTACAAACATAAAATATCTTCCTAATTATGTCATCAGCTATATTAGGCTACAATTTCAAGAAAGAAAACCTTGAATTAAATAAATTGCAGAAATAAATTACAAATCCATAGCCAAAACAATAAATTGATCTGCATATCTCAGACAATACGTGGCACAGGAAAATGACTGGAATTGTTTATTATTATGTGGTACTCTAACTCCCTATTCTGTAGAACAAAATATTTAAAAGACTATACCAAACATTTTAAGACTGCCTAAATTAAGCTTCACAAACTGAAGTGGGTGTACTGTCAAATGCAGCAGTTCCATCTACCTTGCTAAAAGACCACTGTAAAGAAATCTCAATTTAACTACTGGGAAAATGTGAGTCTCATGCAGTTGTCAAAGCCACAATCATAACTTAAAAACGATCAAGCATCAAACACATCTTTGCAGGTACAAAACACTTGTTGGGTTTTAATCGTTAAAGATTTTTACCTCAAATGAAAAGAAAAAAAACCAACCAAATAAACAAACAAACAAAAAACGCCCAAGGAACCCAAACAAACAGTGCTTGCAGCCTAAACCATATTTCACTGATGAGGTTTTATTTAGTGAAAATGTATTTATGGAAATGTGTGCTTTGAAAGAAAAAGAAAGAAATGAGCAGAATCTGGAAGTGCAAAATTAACCATATTTCTGTACAGATACTTACATATTCCTATACTCTGATGCTGCACAGATTAACAATCTATGAATCAATATATGTTATTTGCCTTTTTTATTATTTTTTAAGTAATAAAAAAATTTTTTTAAAGTAATAAAAAATTTCACAGACCTATTGATTTTTGTTACTCACACAAGAAATAAGCAGAAATCATGATTATGACAGCATTTTCCCATTATTCCTCCTAATACTAACTATGGAGATGTTATTCCTGCAGTGGTGTTGTGAACACGCTTGAACGAGCTGTAACGCGATGCTGTTCCATGAACACCACCACAGTGGCAAAACTTACAATTCTTGAAAACACATCAAAGTGGTAGATTCTCTTTCCATTTCTACTAAATCAACAGTGTTCACTCACAACAAGCCCATGCAGAAAATAGTGAAATATCAGAATAACTAGAACATAAAGCTATCAGAACAAAAGAGGAATCATTCTGAGTGAGACAAAAATCCCTTCTAAGGGAAAGCAGCCTGCATTTTGCTTAAGGAAGAACGTACAAGTGTGGGTTGTATAAATTACATGTTCTCAAGTTGGCCTCAAACCAACCAGAAGATAAATCAATTCTTGTTCATTTCTATCCTGCAGACAACTCCACAGATCTCAAATATAATATCCCTCAGGCATTTCTAGAAGTCTTGCTGACTTACTTCTGTCTACAAAGCAACTTCACACCTTTCTCATTACTATTCTCTGACTCTCTTCCAAGTCTATTTTCTTGATAACTAGAATTGTGCAGAGCATTCAAGATGAAGCAGCATTATGAATCTCTCCATAACACAACACTACTTTGCTCTCTATTCTTCTCCCCATTATGTCTACCTCTCTGTTGTCTTTGTAGGCTGGGTGGGAGGAGTGTTTATGTTCTTTTTAATTGCACTATAGTTTCAATGGGTTATGGTTTGCATGGAATTTTCTATTTTAAATACAAAACATATATACCCACATACCATATATACCTATACTGATTGTTCTAAAGAATTAATTTTTCAAATCATCTGTGACTTAAATAAAATCCATTATTGAATATGTTAAACAAAATTTCTATGTCCCTCTACAAACAGAACTGTTTAGAATTGATTGTCAGATTAAGTAAGGGTTGTTTAGAATTGATTTTCAGAATAAACAAGGAAATTGCTTCAATAAATCGTAGTTCCACAATTTTACAAATATTCCTAAAGCTGTTTATCCTATCACATGGCTTCCTGTTACATTCAAACCTTTCCTAATCTTCAGTCAGTAAGTTTGATTATAATAATGTTCAATATCCTCTGCAGAATGTAATCAAGATCATAATATAATTTACAAAGCCTCATTTTCATAATTTTAATATAAAACCCAGAATGAACAAATACATGGTTCTACCTCAGTGAAGGCTGAGTAGCATTACAGCATCTCTAGGTAAAGTATCCTTTAACAATCTATAAACTGAAAAAGCAATGTCTCAGGATCTCAGGAGAGAGTCTGTCTTCTGAACTTCTTCAGGAGCTTCCTTGCCTTTGTCCCAAACATGTTAAAGGGCAAGTTACAAAAGTACACAGAATAAAGTCACAAATTTGTAACAGTAACCATACCATTTATCGAAAACTTTCTAGCTAAAGATATTCATACATTTTAAATAGAAAATTCATTCTTACTGCTCTACTTGAAACTGTGTGAAATGTCACTATTTCTTTCAAGTGTGTCTCTGTCTGAAAGATGCAAAGCACTTCTAACAGCCATGGATGATGGATTTCAATGAGTTTAATATCCATGCCTTAAAATTATGCACGTTTAAGCATTATGCTCATTCAGGGTCATAGTGATGAAGTGTTTTTTAAGAACTTAAGTTCATGCTACAATTACTTACGTACTTTGAGACTAATATGTTTTTTTCTTTTTCCTGAAAAGGTCTTACTGTAAAAAAAAAAATCATCTATGTCATCTGAAAATCTGACAACTCTACAGAAAGAACAAAAAAAGTAGCTACGTGACCAAAAAAAGCAGTTTAATAAGAAAAGACTGAGGGGGGGGGAAGGAAAAAAGGTATTTTGTCTTAAAAATTTACTGCTTCTTTTTGGACTTCAATATTCTTCTAGATGAATTCTCACATTCTTAAATGTGTTACTACATAAGTTATATGAGTTAAGTATGAGTTACTACATAAGTTTTATAAAATACACAGTCAAGTATGGTAAAAGAGAAAAAAGCTCACAAAAAAAAATTTGTTATGCAGCAGTTTCTATCTTTTAATAGAGATAGAAAAATATGACCCTATCACTTTTCTTTCTTCTGTAAAGCCTTTGTTACATCATTTCACTGATCTCTCCTCTGCAACATTTTCTGTAGATGCTGCCATATAATGCTTGAATTATTATCCAAGAGATATCTATATTCTAATGAACATAATGATACATGGTAGATATGATGACTGACTCAGAGAACAGCAGGTGTCCAAGAGCAAGGAAGGCAGCTTCCTCACAAATGTTTTCAGACCAAGGTTGACCTGAAAAGCTGAATATAGAAAACTCACCCCTTGTTTTGTATTCAGCATTTTAGCTCTAGTATGGCCTATACATTAAAAGCTTATATCTTAAAATCAAAGCTGATTTATAAGAGAGAAACCACTAAAATTGAAGCAGCTTTCTGATTTTGTAATTATATTCCATCCAAGTACAGTTTCACTGCTACAGCACAGGGATATTGTTAACCATATGACTTACAAACTAACAATTTTAGAAAAAGTCTAATAGGTAACTGTTCAATATCAGGTACTGTTTCAAGAAACAATATTTCTAACAGTTATCAAAGCAGAGACAAGACTTTCTGAACTTTATTCAACACCAAACTTAAGTCTGCCCATACAAAATTCCACTCAGATTTTATACAACTTACATAATGCAAAAAATACATTTTACTGCTGGTCTCCCTATTCCTACATAGGGGTTTGGGTTGTTTTTAACAAAGAAGACTGACACACTCCATTTTGTATATGGACGTGAAATCACATCTGACAATTTCAAAAGCAAAAATCTGTCAGGATGCACATGTTCCCTAACAAAACTTATAACCTACAGTTCAGATTTAGATTTTTTTTTTCCTCTCTGCCATTAGCTATGAGACTATTTTGCTCTTTTTAATTTCAAGGAGTTTTTAATGGGCTTTCTATTCCAATTCTTATATCTGCATCTCAAGTACACACATCTGCTTCTCATCTGATGTGAAAACTCTTTACCTCTTTTAGGTTAGGTCTTTGCTATTTGGTAGATATGCTATTTTCAGACTCCACTTCAACAAGCCAACTGAATAGCCTAACTATCCCACACTGTAGCCCTCAAGCTCACTTCTGCAGCAAACTTGAGCTCACCAACTATGTCCCCTTCATGTCTTTGCACCTGTACAATAGTAGGGGTTTGACTCATCTGCTCCAAACCTTCCCAGTGACTCTGTAACATATTTCTATATCCTAAGTCTCACTGAAAGAGCTGTGGTAGGGTTGTCATCCAATACCTCTGTCCCAACCTCTTCCAGTGCTGGAAAAAGAAAGCACCAAAAGTGTGCAGAAATTTTTTTTCAGTTATGTTTTACTCCAGGACCCTCAGTGTAATGTCAGCAACACTGTCATTACCCTACAAAGCTTTAAATTGTTGGTCACACGGAGAACTGTTACAGCAATAAAAGGATCAGACATCAACAAAGCTGATATCATATGGGAAATCTACCACTCCTAAACACTGCAGTTTCCTCAAATAAAATGAGGGCCACAGACCGAATACACAGAATAACTAAGATACTACAACCACATCTAATGAGATTACTACCCCAAAGCATAAACCGCAATTGAGGAAGTGTAAG